TCTTGAAATTTACACCAATCTAACGACAATTGCAACAAGAGTGTACAGTAACACAGAGCTGCGCAAACTTACCAGGAAAGCTATGACGGTCGAGATGGCACACGAACGATAGATCACGCAACGATGGCATTGCATCTTTTATCTTTCTTTTTCTTTTTCGGAGCAAGAAGGGCGGTGGAGCTGGGTAGCTAACTGGGTAGTCCTGCGAAATGGTGTACCTACTGGTCAGCTTCCTGATCGGGAGTCACAAAGCACATCGTCATTAATTGTAATGGTTCGCTTGTACATATTGAGATACCCTTTTCTTTCTTTTGAACCATTCTCGACCGTCATAATCATCTTGAATCATGTTTTCTTCATTACCTTATTACAGACACATTGTGATGGGAGCCTAGGATGATGTCGTCCTTCGTCTGCCAGGATTCAAACCTTGTCATCCTTGTCGACGAAGTGTAAAAAGTATGACTTGCAGACACTCCCCTACCATGAACTGCGTGCGCCATCTCGTATTATTAACCAACTAACCCTGCTCACTCCCTACCCTTTCTCGAAAACAAAAAAAAATCAAAACCAAGCCGACTCCTATGCCTGCTTCTCCTCCCACCAGTATCGAGAAAAAGTCCCGTGAAGCTCCTCCACGCACTCACCTACTACCTATTCCAATCACGCCTGACCAGCTCTTCGGAAATCTCGATTATGAAGAGAAGTTGCATCTCACGTAAACTGAACCTACATGACTTACTTGCTCAAAAGGATGACATCATCACACAATGGCCGTCAAAATTCTCGATAGAGAGATAGATGTTCGTGAGACCGGTCGTGTAGACGATTCAACACTCTACATTCTCATCATGGGGACTTTTAGAGGCTGGGGATTCATGGAATCGTGAAAAGTTGGACAGTTTTGCTGTTCCATTCATTCATGCACGTCTTTCTTTACCTCTACTTAATGCTTTGGGATAGCTAGCCAGCTGGAACATGACCGTCCCATCGTAAATGCTAGCTAGAATTAACGCCATCTCTGCCTGTGCGCTCCCGGTGGGTGTGGAGTCTTTGGGAATTCATCAAGCTTGGCGCAAAGAACTTATTTCTCAGCATAGCTGGCAATCTAGGACGTGTCTTCTTGGCGGCATCGTGACATTTGTATCCCCAGGAAGGTTTTCATGGCATAAGCCGGCCTGGGTCGCGTGGGAACAAGCTCGCTAATCGCACGTTTGGCAGTCCCAACCACAGCATGACAATTCGCTCCAAACCAATACCACCACCAGCATGAGGCGGGCAACCATATCTGAAAGCGTTAACGTAGTCGCGAAGACCGTCGCTCTTAGGGTCGACAGGGGTCAGGTGCTCCTTCATGCGCTGTTCGAGGTACGGCGCGGAGTGAATACGCTGAGCACCAGACATGATCTCTTGACCTCTCATGAAGAAATCGTAGGAGTTCGAGTAGCCTGCATTTGGCTCTTTAGGATCGTATTTGGCTTGTGTCTCCGCGGAAGGCATGGTGTAGAATGGTCGAATGGCGAGAGGGTATTGGTCGAGAACGTAGAAGTCAGAGCCGTACTTCTCGAGTACGAGAGCACCAAGCTTCTTCTCTTGTGGAGTGCTGAGATCGTCGAAGTCGCCAACTTCCTCGCCCGCAGCACGGAGCATGGCAATACCCTCTGAGAAGTGTAGGCGCGGAACCTTGCCAGCCGCGGGGAGCTTGAAGTCCTCGACTTGGTAGACAGTGCGGACGTAGTCGGATTCCTTCTTATACCTCGTGCGCAGGCCGTCGAAGATGAACAGCATCAGCTCTTCGATGAGAGACACGACTTCATGGTAATCCTCCTCGAAGGCCATTTCCAGATCGAGACCAGTGAACTCAGTCAAGTGGCGAGCAGTGTTGCTGTTCTCAGCACGGAAGATGGGACCAATCTCCATGACTCGCTCGAATCGGGACGCAATCATCATTTGCTTGTACAGCTGCGGTGACTGGGCGAGATACGCCTTGTCATTAAAGTATTTCACTTCGAACACAGATGAACCACCCTCTGATGCGGCTCCAAGCATGCGAGGAGTGTTGATTCCAATGAAGCCGCGTTCTTCCAAAAACTCCGTGAAGAGTCTCTGCACACCATGCTTGATCTTGAAGATGGAGTGGTTGAGGTTGGCCTTGAGATCTATGGTGCGGTTGTTGAGACGAGTGTTGAGGGAGACAATCGGCTTGCCATCCTCGCGCACAGCGTTCTCCTCACCCTCTGCCGGGATGCGGCCCTCAGCATCGGCGACCTGTAGAGGAAGCTGCGTGTCGGCCTTGCAGAGAATGTACAGCTTGTTGACATGCACTTCAAGGTTCTGGATTGTCGTGCTCTTGACTGGCTCTTTGGGCTTGTTGAGAAGACCGTGTACAATGACCTCGCTCTCGGTTGGTATACTGCCGGCGAACTTGACCATTTGGCGGGACAGAGTGTCGCTGGCTGCCACAACGGCCTGGATGGTGGCCGATTGCTGGCTGAAGACGAGGAAAGACAGCTTGGCACTCTGATTTCGCGCATTTTCCACTGTCGCTCTGAACACTACCTGCGGGCCCTTCTCGCCTTCTGCCCACTGCTCAGCAGGTGCATCATCTCTGTATTTCTGTGCAAGCGCCTCGAGTTTCTCGTGCTTGACGCCTGTCGATGTGCGCACCAGTGGCAGCTCGCCGTAGTCTCCCTTGCTCACATCATTTGCCTCGTCGGCCTTCTTCTTCGCCTCTTGCTCAGCCTTTATGCGTGCAGCCTTTTCCGCCTTTTCCTTCTCTTTCTGCATCTTCTTCAATGCACTCTTCGATGGCCCTTTCTCGCCTTCAGCGCCCCCTGCTGCGGGCTCTGCATTTTCTTTTGGGCGCTCTGGCATCTCCTTCGCTTCGTCGGCCATGATTGCAGCTACACACGGCAGAGTCAAGCCAATGCGGTGATGGCGTGGATTCAAATAATTTGTTGGCGGGACAGCTATGATTCACTTCAGGCACTTCAGTTTTTGGAGGGGCATTGACTCAGTGGAAGGTGGCCCGACTTGGCTTCGCGGTGATGAGCGAACAACATCTCGGAGTCAACAATCGCATTTCTTGCAGCCTTATACGGACGCCGAATGAGCAGGCAAATATCGAACACGCGTAACAGACTGACACGTAGTCATACCAGGAGACCTGTGACGATGCCCCCCCACTTGATGTAACTGATGTATTCAGAAGAGGGCTAATCTACAGGAAGCCCAAAGATGAAGTGCGCAGTTTCAGCCTCAGGCATTATGCACGTGATACCACACACTACACACTTCAAGTCACCCCCTTATCGCGTGCATACAGCCAAACAAACAAACTAGCGAAGCAAACAAAGGGGTATTAGGTATAGAAACAACTAGACTACTTTTAGGCTATTATAACAGAGCAATTAAACAAACATAAGCAATCTATTTAGTACTTAGTAGCAGGCTAAGCGGCGCTCTTAATAGCAGCTTTACAATCTACTAAGTTCAACTGTTTAACGAAGCGAGCGTACTTAAGCTTATTAAGCGGCTTAGTAAAGCCATTAGTAATCTAATCGTAAGTGCTAATCTAGGTAACAGTTATAGTACCGTTAGCGATCTTCTTATAGATATAGTGCACTCGAGCATCTATATATTTAGTGCGGCTATTAACACTCGTCGACTAAGTAATAGCAATAGCGGACTAATTGTCCTCGTATAGCGTAATAGGCTTAATAGTGCCCTTATAACTAATCTCTTATAGCAACCGAGCTAAAGTAACGGCTTCCTTAGCGCTAGTTATTAACTAAATATACTTAGCCTCTATAGACGATAGAGTAACTAAGGTCTAGCGGCCCGACTTGTATAGCAATAGTCTACTAGCGAGTATAAAGTAGAAACCTCCTATAGAGCGACGAGTAACCGGATTATCTGCCTAGGAAGCGTTATAATATCTAGCAAAGTTGAGCTTATCGCTCTATACGCCTCGGAAACACAGACTACGGCTTAGAGTGCTAACTAGGTACTTAATAAGCTAAAGAAGTGCAGCATAGTGTTCCTTAGTCGGGTTAGAAATGTATCGTAATAATAGGCCTATAGTATAGCAAGCATTAGGTCGTATAATTATAGCTAGCTATAGCGCTTTACTAACACCTTCCTAATACTAAGTCTTAAAGGCAGCGCTAGCAGTATAGCCCTTAGGAGCACGCTAAATCGATGTCTTAACGTATCGAGGTGCTATTAGTGTAGCCGGTGCTATACGGCCCTATATGCTATACTTCTTACTAAGTCGGTTTAGATAGGCGTCCTGTACTATATAGATAGTACGGTCCTTGCGGTTGCGAATAATACGCATACCGAGATAATAGTAAAGATTACTAAGTTCCCGCATATTAAAGCGATCCTTTAGCAACTAAGCTACTGCTTAGATAGCGGCTATTAAATAAGCAATAATAATTATATTATCTACGTAGATGACGATAACTAAGCTACTAATAGTGTGTTTGAACACACACATATCGCTTATAATAGGGATGAAGTTTAGGCTCTTTAGAAACTTCCGGAGCTCTTTATACTATAGCATTAGTAACTGCTTTAGACTATAAAGTGCTTTTAGTAGTAGACATACTATGCCCTTGCCTCTACTACGGTCTTTAAAGCCGTGTAGCTACTTAACGTAGATCTTATGCTTGTTACTAATAAGTGCGTTTAAGAAGGTAGTTAGGATGTTATATTATTAAGCCTCTAGGTTATAGTAAGCAATTATAGCAAATAGGACACGCAGTGTGCTTAGCTTAGCTACTGCAGCATAGGTCTCGTTATAGTCCTGTCCTTTAACCTAAGTAAAGCTACGGACAACCTAACGAGCCTTAAACCGGCTAATATTGCTATTAGCGTCGCGCTTAATAGTAAACACCTATCGGCTACGAACAACCTTGCGACCTTCTAGCACCTCTAACCGAGATATATGCACCTATATATAGTTGTCGATTAGTAACTTGTATTTAGCCTTATAGGCCTCCTTCTATTATAGCTAGTGTTATGATTCCTTAGCGGCCTTAAAGCTCTTTAGAATTAGAATAGTATCCTTAGGCTTATTAGGCTGTTTAGCAATATAGTAGGAAGCTATAAAGCCCTTTATATAGGCTATCGGTATATTAGCTATTATACGTCGAGTCGACCGCTTAATACTACAATTAGCTAGATAGCTACGTAACAGGTTACGAGCTAACTTGTTACTACGGGTTGTACGGGTAGAACGAGCGCCTATCGTATTAGGTCGCTCAAACTCTAGTAACTAGCTAGGCTTACCCTTCTTCGCATTTAGATTAAAGGGCAGAGCTTAATCTTCCTTAGCTAATTAGAAGCTATCTTTATTACTCGAAGCTAGTAGTTAAACGTCTAGAAGGTCGTCCTCGATTAGCAACGGATTAGCGACCTTATCGGCTATTTCCTATATAGGTCCTTATATAGGCTATTCTTCTTGCTAAGCTAGAAGCCGCTAGACTATACTAGTAGCCTCGGCAGGCGACGGAGCCTCGTTACTTATAGAATTAAACAGAGCCGGTATAATAGACTCGAGTGTAACAAACTCGTTCTTAGCTAGGTCGTTAGGATTAGCATATAGGTTTATGCCCTCTAGAAGCGACAACTTGTCGTCCCCTAACTTAATAAACTGGATATCCTTCGAGGCAACAACCTTGTATTCGTTAGATAAGTAGATTATGTATTTGCTAGAGTCTACTAAGTCCTTCGCATAACTAACTAGCTTGCCAAGCTTTCTACGAGCGTCAAACTTCTTGCTACGAGCTATACTATAGTCGTAGACAATAGCAGTATAGCTATAGGCTCGAAGGTGTTAAAGGCGTAGCTACTTCCGAGACTAATTAAGCTCCTTAGCTACAATAGTGTATAGGCTTCCTCTATTAGCGGTTAGCGTAATATTAAGGACCTATATAGCGGAGGCAATAGCATATAGCTATAGAGACTTTAGAAGGTTGGCCTATAGCATTATCTTTCTCGCAGTCGTATATACGATATAATTGCTAACCTTAGTAAGGCTATTCTAAGTTAAAGAATAAGGAGCTATAACCTGTACAATACCCTAATTACGAGCCTAGCTTAATAGCTAATTTCCGCCGTACTTACCCCCTCTATCGAGGCAGTAGATTGGGATAGAATAGCTAGTCTGTATACGGATATATATACGATAGTCCTTAATTGCTACCGTAGCCCCTAACTTTAGCGAGCTAGTATATTCGTGTCGATAGGCTAATTTTGCGCATATAAACAACGTAAAGTAGCGTTCTTGCAGTAGACTAGGGTTAGTAATAGTAACTACATCTATATAGACAATATAGTAAATAGTAGACAGTCGCACTCGTAGTAGTCGGTTGTATTCCTTATATAACATTACTATACGACAAGCGATATAGTTTCGGAAGTCGGTCTTGTTTCCAGTAATAACAATCTGACCCTTAGCTTCTATTCGTAACAGCTTGCGGTAATAGATATAGCTATATCGTAGATGCTACTCTTCTATCGTACCTATTAGCACCCCCTTCTTTAATAGAAGCGCAACAACTTAGCTATCCGGTCTAGAGGTTAGTATATACAGATAGGGGAGACTATTCTTTCGGTATATTTAAGCAACAGTAACCTTAGAGCCGTTAACAATAGTAAACAGTACTCGCTTATCATTCCGATAGAAACAGCCCTTATCGGCAAGCTTCTTAGTAGACAGAAGGTTAGCTGCTAGACCTAGAATATATAGTATATTAGACAGCTTTATACTGCTTACACTACGCTTATTAACAACCTCAGTCCAAGCTATACCAACTATCGTAGCGTACTTCGTGTTGCTACCAAACCGGACAGGAATATAACAGCCTTTATATTTAATAAGCAATAAAGGGTCGTTAACTATATATATGCTAGTACCTAAGTCGACAACCTAATTAGTAGTACGAGTGCTAGCAGTAAGAGCTGTAGAAACCTAGTCGCTAATAGTAACTATAGTGTTTATAGTAAAGGCGTAACTATAGCTTAGGTCTAATAACACCCCCGGGGTAGCATTAGCCGCATATAGCCCCTAGGCACTATTCTAACTAGATAGCGGCTATTGCTGTTATTGCTACGCAGTTAGTCTACGCTGCTGCTGTTGCTGCTTCTTAGCCTTCTGCTTCTCGCGACGAAGACGGTCTTCTTCCTTTAGGTAAGGGTATTTAGTATAGTACCGATCGGATAGGTAAGCGCCTTAGTAGTGTAAGCACTTCTCGCGATTCTAACTATTCTAGCTGTTTCTACTACGACTACGACTATTGTTGCTATTTCCGCGGCTACTACGGCCGCTATAGTTCGAGTTACCTCGACCGTTGCTATTACTATTACTACCTTGCTGTTGTTAGCGCTAGAGACCGAAGAAACTATTGTATTAGGCCTAGTTTAGTTAAGCCACATTCTTATTAAGCAACGCGCTAATAATGTTATTAAGGGTGTTGTTATTAATAGTATACTCTAAGGCGCGCATTTACTTACGGCGCATCTATACGAAAGCCTCGTAGAATAGAGAGATCTATATAATAAACATATAGACAGCCTAATACTAGCTAATAGCTAATTTAGTGTCCTTTAAGGCACTAAGCTTCTTCTTATACTTATTGCAGAACTTCTTAATATCCTTACTATTATACCGAAGGGTAATATATTCCTAGTAGAGCATAAATTTAGTAGACCTACCTTTACTAGTATATTTCTTCTTAAGGAAGTCCTATACTTCCTAGGATATAGACAGACTAAGCAGTAATTGTTAAATATTACTAACACAATTAGCAAAGATCTAGGTACGTACTGTTTGATCTTTAGAGTCCTATTTATCTTAGCGGTCTTTAAACTCTTTAGAAGTCTTACTAGATGCCTTAGCAAGGGGTCGCTAGCGGATGCCTTATATATAGCGCTAAACCGATATATCTTTAAGGGCGCCTTTAGCGGCATATAACTATAATAGGTAGTTCTCTTTATTCTTTAGCTTAGGAATATTGCTTATATAAGCGCTAGAGGTTGTAGGGGGAGCTATTACGGACAGCGACGGCGATATAGAAACTATAGACTTTATTTTAAGGGGCGGCCGATAGGCGCGCCTACGTTCTAGTATAGCGGACAGCTAATACTAGTATAGCGGATAGCTAACACTAATAATAACCGACTCGAGTCGGACTAGCACCTGCTAGAATACTCGAGGGTAGCGGTAAGAGTAGCGGCGACAATATCGGTATCGGCGTAATTATTGCTAACGGGCGCTAGCTACGTAGCAGTCGGATTAACTATTAGAAAAACGTATAGAATGCGTTAGAAACGCAGGGGGCTTATAACTACTTGATGTAACTGATGTATTCAGAAGAGGGCTAATCTACAGGAAGCCTAAAGATGAAGTGCGCAGTTTCAGCCTCAGGCATCATGCACGTGATACCACACACCACACACTTCAAGTCCCCCCCCCCCCCCCCCCCACCCTAACACACACCTTGAACAACACCCCTGAGACGCGTCCCAAGCACGAGAAGGTCTATACAAATAGGAAATGCACGGCATCTGCTTTACAAGTCCTCCTGGAAATGACTTTCCATAGTGATACGCTTGCTCATTCCAAAAATGTGACCTGCTTCTCTATTGAGTCTCTCCCAATCTCCAGGTTGTTGACAGGATGCTCTTCAACAGGCCATCCAATGGCCATGCCACAAAGAATCTGCTGGTCATCATTCAATTGGAAACCAGACTTCAATGCTTCTGGATAGCCAGTCACACTGATCTGGAAACAGCAGCCCACTCCTCGCTCAAAGAGTGCCAAGGCAAAGGTGTTGACGAACATGCCAACGCTCATGGCATCTGCCAGGCCAAAGCAGTCATCCATGCTTATGACAGCGCAAGTCGGAGCACGAAAGAATTCCCATTGCAAGAGCCGCTTCGCCTGTCTCTCTTCACGATGATCATCTCCCATCACATCGTATCCCTGCTGGCCATATATGAGCTTGACCAGCTCGTTCCTGTATTTTTGAAACTTCTCTGGAACTGCTGGCAGAACTGCTTCTCCTTCTAGACTTGCAGCTCTAAGCGGTGCAACAGCGCGATCTCTGGCTGCGCCTGATGCAATGGTCAACCGCCAATTCTGCACATTCGAGTTTGATGGGGCTCGCCGAGCAAGCTCAAGACATTCTCTCAGTAAGGCCGTGGGAACCGGATCAGGCTGAAATACGCGACATGAGTGTCGAAGGCGGACGCAGTCTTCGAACGACAGTTCTTTGCTTGGTTTCATTGTTCCAGGTTTACGCGGAAATTCATGCTTTCGATGGTGCCCTCATGGCATACACTGTTGACTGGCGCTAAAGACATGAGGCTCCTCGGCCAAGCTTCCGGTTCATCAAAAGGTTCCACAGCTACCGAGTGCTGACTACAGTACATTCTTGTATACAGTATCGCTCATGCGGCTTCGTTGTAGCAAACGAAGCTGAATAAATTCCATATCACGCACATTGCCGGATTCCTAATATGATCATTCGGCTAAACCCTCGCCTATCCGAAGGTCTTGGCTTCTCGGACCTCAAAAACTTTGTTGCTTCTGTATCCTAGCTGTTCGGATATCGTCAAAATAGCACTACTAACCTTTGTGAACCTGAGATCTGACTCTCCGAGCTTGGAATAGAACAACGAGGAGGACGGACTTCTTATCAACTACTCCAGGCACCACATCATCGCCAACACCATGGCCACATCGAACATTGCCTCAAGTCAGCCTTTGGACACCCATATTGACCATCCCACGACTACCAATGGCTTCCCCTCTCAAGAGAAGACATATACTTATTACCATGCCGGTCCGCTCTTCACCCTAGGAGACCTTCACGCTAACGTTCTTCTTTCAAGAGCAATCACAAAACTCAGCAACGGCAAATTTGTGCCTTTACTACCCCAAGATCTCGAACAGCGTGGCGACGTAACACCTCACAAAATCCGAGACAAGGATATCAGGGCTCTACTGTCTTGTGACTTGGCATTGTTCACCTACGATGGAGCAGAATTGGATTCTGGAACTGTGGTTGAATACATGATCGCAAAGTTCGCTGATATCCCCTCGGTAATCCTTCGAAGTGACTTTCGTGGTGGTGGAGATCAAGGCAGTCACCCTTCCGGCGAAGCGGAACCATGGAATTTGATGAGCTCTTTTTGGCCTCGCACAAAGGGAGTTGTGATTGACGGCATGCTGGAGTATAAGAAGGCATTAGCAAGTGCTGCCAACGCAAAACAAGCACAGCACTCGAATGGTGGCGATGACTTCGATGTGAGCAAAGCGGCTGGCGGTAATATGGTGGAAATTACTGCTAGGAGATGCGTTGATGCAATGGAGGAGGTTTTGAAGATTCCTACGAGGATGCCCAAGGAGCTGAGAGGGAGTGTGTATCAATGGCTGGCGCTGATGCCTGGTTACGCTGAGAGAGAGGATGATAAAGACATGGAGGTCATGAAGAATTTGCTCGAAAAGAAGGAGGGAAAAAGGGTGCTCAATTGATCCATCGCTAGAGGCAAGAGGCCTCAGCCGTGAGAATTGTGCAAATCGTATAGTTGACGATGCCCAACGCAGAGCAAACAACTCACATGCCAACAAAATGCGAGGCCGAGAGCAACCGGAAATTTATCCGCTGGCCGAGAGGTGGATCTCCGGCGAGATGTCTCCGCAACTTCAACGACATGCCGGTATTGACGCTCCGACGACATGTGAGACCAGCTTCAATATCACACATGAGATTCTGAGGCAATCTCAGTACACTGTACTCGCCCGCACACAACTGAGCACCGACAGTTATGGGCGAAGCAGACCACAGGCCAATCGTCCTACACATCGGCGAGCCAATCAAATACAATCACGACTACTACGAAAAAGAATTCTCCAGCCGCTTCAAGGTCATCCACAACAACAAACTCAACCGCGAAGACTTCATAGCAGCGCTCCAAAATCATGAATTCGGGAACTTCTCAGCCATCTTCCGGCCACACTTCCAGTCCGGAGGCGAAATGGGACAATGGGACAACGAACTAATCCCTTTCCTCCCACCCTCAGTCCGCATCTTCGCCTCAGCCGGAGCAGGCTATAATTGGGCCGACGTCGAAGCTCTCGGACGCCAAAAAATTCTGTATTGCAATGGAGCCGGAGCCTCGGACGATGCCGTCTCGGATACAGCTTTATGGATGATTCTAAGCGTCTTCAGGAACTTCACGATGAGCCAGTTAGCCGCGAGAACGGCAGATCCTATCAGGTTTACAGAAGCGCATAAGAAAATCGCGACGATTTCTGCGAATCCTAAGGGCAAAGTTCTGGGGATTGTGGGGTTGGGGAATATTAGTGTTAAACTTGTGACTAAGGCGCAAGCTATTGGGATGGTGGTAAGGTATTTTGATGTGAGGAGACGAAGTCTAGAGGAAGAGGAGAGTTTAGGAATCGAGTTTCTCGACTTCGACGACTTGCTGGCAGATTCGGATTGTATATCTCTCCATGTCCCTCTGAACGCACATACCAGGCACCTCATCAATTCGGACTCTCTGGCGAAGATGAAATTTGGAGCGAGAATTGTTAATACTTCTCGAGGCGAAGTTGTTGAGGAAGAAGCGCTTACTGAAGCTCTCAAGTCCGGGCATATTTCTGCTGCAGGATTGGATGTGCATTATCATGAACCTCAAGTTAACCGCGAGCTAGCACGGATGGAGAATGTTACGTTGACGACGCATGTTGGTGGTGGAGCTCTGGATACTAGGATTAATTTTGAGTTGAATGCTATGAGGAATATTTTGGAGGTGTTGGAGGGGAGGGAGCCTTTGACGCCTGTTAATGAGGGATTTGTTAAGGAGGCTTTGGGAAAGCGAGCGTAGACGTGAGATGAGTCGCTGGAGTTTCTGGGATGTGAGATCTGGGATTGAGAAGAGACTACTACATGGCTTTTGTTCAGCTTGTACGAGTTCCTACGAAGTGAGCGATTGCATCCAGCCATTTGTTCTTCAAGTGATCGTCCTCTCGCTAATTTCTACCATGCCGAGACCGGGAGAACAAGCATTCTAACTAGACTCAAAGCTCCACGTTGCACTGGGCAGTCCGCATAAGTAGAACTAGTTCTACTTGTTGTGCGGAGAAGCATCTCGGATGCCTGCGGCATATCGGAAACGCTGCCTCCGAAACGACTACATCTATAATGAGGATCCTGTCTCATGACGGCCCAGCCTCAATGTCGGTCGATCTTGCCAGCATCATTGCATTTTGCAGCATTCATCTTCGAACCTGACTTTCTTGAGTTTCCGAGACGTGCTTCCAAATTTGGTCTTGGGAGTGTGTAGTAGACGAGATGCGAGCTCTTCTTTCAGATTCGCGGTGAGGGCGACAAGATTGCAGATAGCCTATAGCTCTGTGAGCACGACTGAGGGTGAAGATTGCTTCTGACATACCATCGCGACGACTCCCAACAGGAATATGAGCGCACACGTCAATATGACAATGTCCATACTTGGTGACATCCTGGTCGTTATGTCTCGAAGACAAGACAGTGTGGTGGTCAGAAAGATTCCATCGAAGAGTCGGCGCCGCGTGAATGAAGTTACTGATGCAATGTCGGCCATGATATCGTACTGGGTATTCTATGGTACGACGTGGCTTCCGCTCGAGTCCTGCTCCGCTCTTTGTCAATGTCGCTTGGTGTGCATTTGATTCGCGCTCAGCCCGATGTGTACGGACGCAGACTCGATCAGAAAGAAGCACTGCAATGTTGTAGTTTGTACGGTCAATCTCGGGGAGAAGGAGAAGGCGGATCGCCGCGGGCAAAGATAACTTCCCTGTCGATCCCATCAATATTTGGTGGTTGTGGTTGGTGGGCTCCGTGCGTGAGCGTGGGATGAACAGGCCAGTCCAGTCCAGACCAGCCCAAGCTCGGCTCGGCTCGGCTCGGCTCGTGCAAAGCTCGGCCCGAGTCTTTTCGATGCGCATGCACATCAAAGCCTGCAGAAGCATGGCCGCGCGACGGAGGCAATTCGGATCTAATCAGATTGCTATTTGTTGAGCAGTGCCATGTCGTCGATGTGGCGGAGGTGGACTGGAAGCAGACGACACTATCAACTGCAAAGTTGCTCCCTCGCGCGACGCTTTGCCCTCCTACATGGTCCCGACGGCCTACATCGGCATTTCTACGCTTCTTGACCGAGAAAAGCCTCTCCTCTCGACTGGAGGCGGCAGCGGTGTCGACGACAGCTTCCCTCACAGAAGGCGAACGCATACGGCGCATACACGTTCCGCTGCAGCGCAGGAGAGGCCACGCTCACGCTGCATGGCTCTCCTTCTGTCCGAGCAAGAGACTGTAGACCTGCCCATCCTTTCACCCACCTCTCGAGCTGAGAGTCCGCAATCGAAGAGCTCCGTCGACATCTGAATGTCCTTTCGTGTCCATTTTACTCCTGCTCTGCTGGCTGGAACGACTCTTTCTGTTGGGGGAGCCTCACAGCTGGCGTCTTCGTGTTTGTGGTCTTGCTTTGACAAGCTGGCATGACGCCGCCGGTCCATATGATAGTCTCGACCCAGCTGCCTTGCGATGTCTACAAAGCTTCTTCCCATAGTGTATTCTCATATTGACGGCTCGGGTACTTCGACGAAGCTCCTCTGCCATGCTCGGTATCGTCGTCGCCTCCTCGTTATACTTGCGGATCAGGTATTCGTCCTCTTCTCGCGTCCATGGAAAGAGCGGAAGAGGTGCTCGAAGATGATTGAGCGGTCGCCAGACGCATGAAGCCATTCTCAATCAACATTATTGTACAGCGCAGTGCAGTGCCGTGTGCAGTCGCGTACTGTATTGACCTTCTCGTATAATACCGCACCTTCGGAACACGAGCGATCGGCGCGGCGCGCTCCGCAGTCAATATTATGCTATGCAATAAGTCGCGCCATGCTGTCGGAGGGATGGAAATTAGCGCGTATCAGTGTCTTTGCCGAGTATCTACCGCACTATACAAATTAGGTATAGAATGCGATCTAGTACGAAAGCCTTTCTTACTTCTATCTATTTACGACCTCTTAGTAAGCCTTAAGGTTAAGAGCTAGGCATTTTAGCACTCTCTCGTCTATTCTATTACTACGCTAGTATACTAAGAGCCTCGAAGCGACTATATAAGCTTACTACGAAGAAGAAGGAAGCCCTCGAAGCCGCTACTACTAAGAAATAACGATATAAAGAGCTACTACTATTAAGTAATAGTCCGGAAGAGCTAAATACTAACGACGAGTTGCTAGATTTAACGACTTCTTAGCGCTAAGACTCTATAGAAGTAGATATCGATAAAGACTATAGCTTAGAAGAAGTATAAGGAAATAGATATATAGTAACGTATAGAACACCCTCTACTAATCGCTATAGTAGAAAGTAGAACTAAACTGTGCCTTTTTTAGAATAGAGTAGAGCGTTTACTATTAACTAGGCTACGTACGAATAGTATATATACCGAGCCGGTAACCGAGTATATCCGTATAAGCGACCGAGCTTTTCCGCGTATACGCTAAGTAGGCTTTACGCTAGCGCGATAGTATCGCAGTGTATGTAATAATATTACATAATTGTTATATAGGCTTACTAAGGCATAATAGGAGACTTTACTTGCTTAGGTTCTTATAATTATCTCCTTCCCCTAGTATAGCTATTCTAGCTATAGGGTAATATAGTAAATTATACTATTTCTTATACTCTACGCTATACTTGCGCGTCTTATACGCACTTATCGCTAGGCTATAGTTGCTAGGCACGTTATAATTTGCCTTATAGTTGCTTATTTGTTTATAGATTTAAAGCGTAGCTACTTCTAGCACTAACTAGAGGTTGCCTAAATTTCTAAGAACGCGGTAGCTACGCGAGAACGCAAGCTATCCGAAAGCGAGGCGAGTATTTAAAGCATTCGAAGCCCGCTTAAAAACTTCTTCTTTTTCTAAGCGCTCCGAATACTATACGCCTACGCCCTATCTACTCTGCCCTCGCGCCTCTCTAGTATTACTTAAAGATTTTCTTTTTTAAATATCTATCTAAAAAAAACATTACTAGTATATCTACCCCTTTGCGTACCTTAGGTAAGCGCGCCGTAGGCGCACCGCTCTCGATACCTACTACACCTACCTAGCGCCTACCGAAAGTCCTAGAGGGCTATACTTGTTGCTTTAGGTATATAATAGCTAATAGTATATTTTCTCGCCCCTTGCTATATATACGCGCTTCGCAACTAACTCGCTTTAGATAACCTATCTAAGCTCTACGTAGGCGGTAATATAGACCCTACTACTAAGCGTAACTACGATCGCTACTATAGTAGCTACTATACCTATACTCCTATTACGGTACGCGCGCTCGTAGCGCTACTAGCGCGTATTTACGCTATATGCGCTACGCGCGACTTTTACGATCTAGACGGCTACGACTCCGTCGAGGAGTCTAACGAGGCCTTAGAGGTACTCTAGGCTAACCTAGACGCCGTTATCGCACGTAGGTTTCTTATACGCTCTGCTTGCGCTTCGTATACTAATCTCGATATTAGTTATCCTATCTACGCTCGATGCCTTCTATATTAATAAGAATAAGGTAACCCTAGGCGGCAAAGCCCTAGCCTATAAGGGGGCCGCTAGCGGGTCTCTTACGGACGTTAACCTCCTTAGTGCCCTCGAAAACATTAGCACTAACTTAGCCGGCTTAGTAGAGATTAGTCGTTAGATATAGTTTTTCCTATAGCCTCGTCTTACTTGCGCTTCGTATACTAACTATACTAGAACCTCGCCTAGCGCGTCGGCGCTAAGGCTGTCGCTACTATCGATACCGCTATAGGTATCGAGGCTAAGGACGAAGAGGAGGAGTCCGAGGATAAGTAGAGTAGACAGCCTGCCGTCGGCGCGCCTACGCGGCGCCTTCTTTATATATACTAGGCTAATAGGCCTTTTTTTTAGTAGCGAAACGAGCACGTATCTACTATTTTTCTTAAGTTTCATTTTCTTTTATTTTAATTACTACCTACGCTTACGCTTCGCTTAAGCTTCGAACTCGTCTAACGCTATAGAATCTTTAATATAAACAGCTAGCTCCTAAGTGTTATATTCTTTAGGCTAACCTCGCTACTTAATAAGGTAGTACGCCTTCCGCTTCTTTATCTTCTTTACTACGATTGTTTCTACCTACTACTTATTACCTTTAGCGACGGGCATACTTATCTTATACTCCTCGCTATCGCGCCTATACTAAGGCTCGAGGAGGGAAACATAGAAAACATTATAGATCTTCGTGCTTAACGGTAGTACTAGGCGGTACGCCTGCGCTCTAACTGCGTTAATAATACGGAAAGGCCCTATATACTTCGGGCTAAGTTTCTTCTTTAGAATATCTAAGCTAATGTTCTTTATCGATAGTAAGACTAAGTTACCTATACTATATGTCTTAGTAGTATAGTATATATTATATTGCTTAGCCTAGTATTCTACTACTTTCTACTAGCGTTCCGTAAGCGTTTTATACGCTTTCCGTAGGCGCTCCGTAGCGTCGATAGCTACTAGTACCCTTCCCTTAGTTAGCTCGTCCCGAGCTAGTAGCTTATTTGCGCTTAGCATTAAATTAGGGTTAAAGCCGTAGAGCATCTTAAAGGGGCTTATACGTAACGTAGAATAAACGCTATTATTATAGGCAAACTCTGCCTAAGGTAACAGTTTAGCCTACTTATCCTAATTCTTAGAGTAATAGTATCGTAGGTATTGCTCGAGGGTCTAGTTCGCGCGTTCGGTTTGCCTATTAGTCTAAGGATAGAAGGCTATACTAAGCCTACGCTTTATATACGCTTCGAAGTAGAAGTCGCTCTAAAACTAGCTAGTAAAAAGCGATCTACGATCGCTAATAATGCCCGATAGTACTCTAAAACGCCTAATTACCTCCCTTTAAAGGATATCCGCGAGTTCTACTACTATACACTTCTTTATCGTTAGGATAAAGAGGCTTATCTTCGTATAGCGGTCGACTATTACGAGGATCGTAGTATATACGTAGGTACCGAGCTTACTCGGCGGGAGATCGGTAATAAAGTCTATCGTTAATTCTTACTAAGGTCGGGTCGGTATAGGTAGAGTAGCGAGCTCGCTATATAGGCGATAGCGTTTCGCCTTCGACTATTAACAAATTCTATAGGTGCGGATATAGGCTATAATATTCTTAGCTATCTTCGGCTAGAAGTACTTTCGGCGTATTAGGTCTATAGTCTTAGCTATACTAAAGTGTCTAGCTAAAGGGTCGTCGTAGTATATACGTATTAGTTACGTACGTAAGGCGTAGTCCTTAGGGATATATAGCGCATCGCTATAGTAAATAAGTTTACTACGACGAGAATAGCTAGGCGGGAGGTTAGAACTACTTAACGAGGCTAAGCTACCCGACGGCGAGCTTGTCTTATATAAGCCTCCTCCTCTCGCTTGCTCTAGCTATTACAAAGTGCGTACGAAACTAAGGATTATATTAGGTGTCTCGTAGTAGGGCCCGTTATTCCTAACGATAGTAGCCGCTACTCTTACGGGACTGCTAATAAAACTCTTACGTTCCGCTAGCGCTGTACTAGCGTCTCGCATCCCTATATATATAATAGAGATGCGTTTTATAATCGGCTCGATATCCTCGGGCAGATTTAACTATAGAGCTAGTTTCGACTACAATATAGGAAGAAGGTTATTCGCTGCCTACGAC